GAGATGTGTATAAGAGACAGATTATAAATAACGATATATAAAATTTATTTTTTACTTTCTATTTTACTTTTCATTTTGTATGAATAAATATGAATAAATTGTAAAATATTCATAAAATGTTCACGAATAAATATTTTTAAAAGCCTACAAGTTTGAATAAATATTTAAATGCATATTTTCTTAATGCGAAAATTTTGAATAAATATAAATTGTAGTCCAATTACGAATTTTTCGTATTCATGGACACACTAGTCAAGCCCGTTTAAAGCGCCTTCGACTCGCACATATGCCACCGCGCCTATTTGCGAGACAGGCTATCTGGTTACGTCCTTCCGTATTCCCCCTCCTTCTCTCGAATCCAGCCTCGTTCCTAAACGGGACTCTCTTTGATTTTTCTCTACTTCAAGGATAAATTATTTCCCGGGGATTGGACGTAACACTGCTTTATCAAAACTATTAAGTAAATTGCGTACATATGGTCACATCGATCTACCGAAGGATGCAAGAACGCTTTTAAATACACCGAGAAATAGTATCGTAGAGGTATCGGCAGAAAATGGAAATTTTTTTCATTACGGTTTGAAAAAGGCAATAATTGAACAATTGGCAAATACAAAGTTTATAATAGAAAATGAAATAATGATAGACTTAAATATAGATGGATTGCCAATATCAAAAAGTAGTAAGAGTCAAATTTGGCCAATATTGGGCAAAATTTATGGTGATAAGACATTTACGCCATTTGTAATTAGTGCTTATTATGGGTACTCAAAACCACGTTTTATAGAGAAATTTTTAGCACCTTTTTGCCAAGAATGTAATATTCTTCAAAATACTGGACTTATTTTCTGTGAAAAAAGATACACTGTAAAAATTAGATGTGTAATTTGTGATAGCCCTGCAAGAACATTCGTAACTTGTACAAAATCACACAACGGATTTTTTGGATGTGGAAAGTGTATGCAAGAAAGCACCTATTTTAATCATGTTATTTTTAGAAACCACTGTACCTCTTCGCACTGATCAAAATTTTAAGAATAGAATACAAGAAGATCATCATACTGGTGTATCTTCTTTCGTGTCAATACTACCAATGGTTTCACGGTTTCCCTTAGATTATATGCATCTAGTATGTCTAGGAGTCATGAAGAAACTATTACAATTGTGGGTAAATAGATATCAAACATCAAGATTAAGTGGACGAAAGATAGCAGAATTGTCAAAAAAATTAATTGCAATGTCTAAGTGGGTACAGAAAGAGTTTGTTCGAAAACCACGTTCTCTTGATGAATTGGTTCGTTGGAAGGCAACAGAATTGCGAGAATTTTTGCTTTATCTTGGACCAGTCGTGCTAATAAATATTTTGCCTGAAGACAATTTACTACATTTCAACACAATAAATTGTGCAATACGGATATTATGCCATCCAACGGATTGCTTCCGTAATAATAAATATAGCAAAGATTTATTGATTCAATTTGTACAGATATTTAAACAATTGTACGGTGACGACGCTATAATTTACAATGTGCATAATTTAATTCATATAAATGAAGATGTGTTAATGTTTGAACCACTGAATAATTTTTCTGCTTTTCCTTTCGAAAACTATATGTAGTTAATAAAAAGAATGCTTAGAAAAGCTGATAAACCACTACAACAGTTATACAGAAGAATTTCAGAAAATTGTAATGAAGTTTTTCAACTTCAAAATTGTAACAAGTATAATATACTCGTATTGAAGAAGAAATGTTCAAAAGTTCCTCCAATGAATTGTACCAATGCTTATTGTACGATTCAATTCAACGATTTTACATTGACAAATAAGAAACCTAACAATTGTTGTTATCTCAAAGATAAAATAATTGTCGTCATTGAACATATTTGTTATAATGAAGAAGGAATAGCCGTAATTATTGGAAGAAAATTTTTGACAAAAAATTCTTTGCCATTATATCCTATCGAGTCACAAAATATGGACATATGTGTGGTTAAAAATTTCGGACCTAATGATGTGGCGACATACCGAGATCATGAATAAAGCTGTTCAACTTCCGTTTAAAGACGTCACTTCGTGGTGTTGCATGCCGTTATTACATTCGTCATGAAAATAAAAAAATACTGCTCAAGATGCTTCTGTATATCAATTAATATAATCAACAACTTTACTTGATATATACCTTGTTACGTCCAATCCCCGGGAAATGATTTATCTTTAAAAAAAGGAAAAATCAAAGAGAGTCCCGTTTAGAAACGAGGCTGGATTCGAGAGAAGGAGGGGGATACGGAAGGACGTAACCAGATAGCCTGTCTCGCAAATAGGCATGGTGGCATATGTGCGAGTCGAAAGCGCTTTAATCGGG